TAAGAAAAGCAAGCTAAAAAGCAACATGTCAAAACCCACAAGAGGGCCAGTTAGCTCAGCTGGTTAGAGTGTGGTACTGATAACACCAAGGTCCGAGGTTCTATTCCCTGTACCACCGGCGCCAGAAGGAAAAAAAAAAAAAAGAACCTACCAAAAGGTACACTTTTCATGCGGACTTTGAAAGCAGAAAGAAATAAGTGGCACCTGCAGGCTGAAGTGCTTTGAAGAGTGCTGGGGCACGGCTGTGAACCCAAGAAACAAAGACAAAGCCATCCCTGTCCTTGGTGCTCCTCTAAGCATTTGTTCGACATTTGCTTTGGTCTGCCCACTGTTTAAGAAGAATAGAGTTGTTTCTTAGTGTTTTTAGGCTTTTCCCTCAAACCCATGTGCAGGTGAGGAAATAATGGGCAAAATATCACTTATACTCTAAACCCTGTCCTGGTGATCACCTTGTAGATTGCAGTCCACCTTCCCCGTTTAGTGGTTATGTGACTTGTGACAAGTAATTGTGAGTCCGTATCACCATGGCTGCAAGTCACCTCTCTGTACCTCAGCTTCTTCATCTGTAAACTTGGATCACAGAGACTGCCCACCACATAAGACTGCTGTGAGGATTAAATGATTAATAAGCAACAAGTAATATATCTGTAATGTACTCAAAGCAGTGCCTGGCATATAGTAAGCACTATATAAATGTTTGCTATTACCATTATTACTGTGTGTGGCTACGCCATTCTTATAATATGGCCGTGAAAATATTAACTATTTTATTAATCGTTCTCATTAAAAGCCACTTACCAGTGGTCTGCAGAAAGTCTCCTGAAGCAGGGGTTATTATATTTACCTACGACATTGCCCACGACTGCACAAATTTTCTGAAGCATTCACACATAATTTTTAGTGTGTTCTTGCCTTTATGCATTTGTTTGGACTTTTTCTTGGAAACCATCATTTCATTCATTTTCTTCCTCTTTCTTTCATCTCACCCATTTAGACTTCCTGACGTTGGGGTCAAGAGCAACGTGTGGAACCGAAACTACCCAATGCCGAAAGAAGGGAGAAGGTTCTCTCAGTTGGGCAGCGCTCTGCCAGCCTAGAAAAGCTGTCCCAGAAAACAGAGTGGGGAGACCCCTCTACCTACCCCACGTGGGGTGGCGGTGGAAGGAACACACATCAAGACTGCCGGCCTCTCCATTCATTTAACAAACATGTATCTACTGTGGCCAGACCATGGCCTGGGCAGAAGACAGCAGTGGACAAGGCACAGAGGCAGAGAAGGTGACCCGCCTGGAGGAGCTCAGCCTTG